CAGTTAAACAACTAATGAGAACCTAGATGTCCATATAAAGTTGCAAGGCCCCAATAAGCCTTGGCACAAACTTGTGAAACACGATATAAAAAATATTCATATCATGTTGAAGACTGAATACCCCGAACGGCCACAAGGCCCCAATAAGCCTTGGTAACATGACATACAAATGCAGAAAATAAAAATTACAGTAGAATGCTAAAACCAGGTTGAAAATAATCATTAAATTTGCAACAAATACTTAACTTAAGCTGAAAATTTCTTATTTTTTTTCTTCGTAATCATCTTATAGTTGATCATGAGAACTCAAGAGTAACCCAAATTAAGGGAAACCCATTTACAATTTACCAATTAACAACTAAAAAAGTCAGCAGAATTTGCAGGTTGACATCACCATTCACCACTACTTTTCTCCACATATATAGCCACATTCACCATCACCATCACCATCACCATCACCATCACCATCACCATTCACCTATATACAGCCAGAAGAACCAATGCATTGTACTCATAATTACTACACCTATATACCCAAAATTCAGTGACATGCATGAAACAAAACTAGTACCATTTCGCGGATTTACAACAAAACCACAAAATACATCATTTATATGATTTAATTGAAGAAGATAACAATTGGAAAATTACCTTTACGGTGCGATTTCTGAGTGAATAGCATTTTTTCGGTCTTCAAACCCTAGATCTGGTTCTTCAACCACAATTCAGTACATCCATGGAGTAAATCGAATTAACGGGGGACGATTTAGGGGAGTGATATTAATTTTTTCGGTCTTCAAACTCAAGATCTGAAGAACCGAGAAGAGAGAGAGAGGAGAGGGTGCTGCGGGAAGAGAGAGAGAGAGGGGTGTGGCTGAAATATTTTGGTCTGCAAAAACTAGATCTGCTTCTTCAACCATAAAGCTTCAATGGTGATTCTATTTATCAATGGGGTTTTTGTTTTTCAGGTTTTCAAAAAAAAAATAGTGATAAATACGAAGAAGATGATTTGGGATGTTTGTTTTTCATTTCATAAATGTTATTTTGATGATATAAAGTAGTAATTAATTGATGTTGATTGATTTTAGTTATGTTTTTATTGCTTTGAAAAATTTTAGTTATGATTTTGAATAAAGGGTAAATTAGTAATTGTATAAGGTAAAAGTTGTCAAAAAAGAAAATGATGCAATAAATATGAAACATCCCAAAATGACAAGTGATGCAATAAATAAAAGACGGAGAAAGTAATATTTTTTACAAAACTTTATTCTTCAAGCAGTGCGATTAAAGCATTTGTTAAAAAAGATTGACAAATCAATCTGAAGTTTGATGAGCATGTGAGAATTACTCAGCTGGGTTTATCTAATAACACCTATTTGTTAAACTCTTGAAGAGTAATTTTTGACTAAATAATTAACATCTCAGCATGTGAGAGTTAATTAGTGAGATTTATTTGTATGCGCAAGAGAACTATCGTATCAATTATGAAATATCAAAGTATGGAATTTGATGTGTTATATATTACTAATTTATACTGTATAAGAGTGGACAACGACATTTGATGATATATATCATGTGTTGTCATCAAATTATTATTAATAGTTGTTCGGTCAAATATTGATCATCATTAATCTCTATTATACATGACCTCTAGAACAAGGCATAAGTTTATGTTTAAGGTAACTTTAAATAGAGATTTTTTGTGAGAGGAACCCGTTTTGCACCAATTTGGCTTTTAAGGGTTATAGATTAGGGTTTTTTTATAGGGTTTTTCCTAATAAAGTTTTAAGAAGTTACAATCTTCGATAATGGACATCCAAGGGGAGCGTTATGAAATATTGGCGAATGCCCATTATCCACCTATGCTCTTTGGAATATTCTAAGTCTAGGAGCTCCTATTATATGGAATGATACACACCTATTCTCTCATTTATTATTATCTCTTTTTTATAACAAGGTATGGAGTAACTTTTTATCTTTCACTTTCGTGAATTAGAAAAAAAAAATATTGTCTTTGATAAACTAGGGCATCCTGGCCTCATATTAGGAGAAAATACAAGTTTATCACCTTGATGAATAATTTTATTTTATCAAATGGAAAAACTGTAAATAAATAAACAATTTTTTTATTAAATATGAATCCCACATTTGTTGATATAATTACGAAAATGTTCTGGTGACTGAACTTTTTGTTGATTTATTTACGAGTTTGACACTTGGTAAAAAAATTGGGGCACCCTCAAATATTAGTAAGGCTTTTTCTGTAAATTTATAACATATTCCTTACATCATTACATGCTACCATTTACAACCAAACAACAGATGGTCTGATTTTTTTTTATTTTATTTTTGGTGTTCCACCCGATTCACCCTTTAGGCTAATCCGGACTCGAGGATTAGTTCTGGGTGATTTTTATGAATTATCATTTGCATATATATCCTACTATTTATAGTTTATACCGATCTTTATTCCCTAAACTCTTAATCCCACATGCCTAACGCCCTGTTAGCACAATTTTGACTATTTATCGTACAACATATATGTAAATAAGGAGTCTTGATTTTTGCGTTGCATCATTACAAAAATAAGCACCTCTCCTTTTAGGACAAGTAGCATTAACAACTTTGTATTCACAACGTTCACGGAAACAATTCACTTCCATAGATGATCGGAAATGCCGCATCAAGCTCAATTAAATCTGAAATGCAATTTAAATTCAAAATAGAGTTTCTTCACCTTCTCGCAAACGTCAACAATGGAGGAAGATTTTCAATAACAAATGATTTTTCAACGACACAAATAAAAAAAATGAAAATAAAGGAAATGATTAACCCCAATAGAGTAGGAGTTTGTCGTGGCCTGGGAAGATCTTTAACAATGGAGGAAGATAAAACTTCTCGCAAACGTCAACAACGGAGGTAGATAAAGATTCAACAATAGAGGAAGAGAATAACGACAATACGATGAATGTCATCGCCATCTGCTGCCAACAGCTCTACAAATTAGTTAAATACTCCTTGTTGTCCACATGAAAATACTTTTATACCCCTTGCTAAACATGAAAGTTATAAACTTGAATTTTTTTTGTTATTGGATCTATCTTAGTGTATACTACATGTTATTTTTTTAACTTTTATTGATACATAATATAAATATTGGAAGTTAAAGCCTTAAAGGTATGATGATAAAAGTCAAAGCGTGTCATATATTCAGAAATCTATAGATTAAAAATATACGAATTGACGTACTCCCTTCGTTTCAAAATAATATTTCACTTTGACTTTTGCACTATTCACGTACCTCCGTTAATAATCATACATAAGAAGATAAATATGTTCGGCAAAATTGTCGAACTATACCGTACTTTAATTTTTTTTATCAACTAATACCATGAATTAAATTTTGCTTTTAAAAATGGTTCCTTAATGACAAATTCTGGCCAAAAACTTATTTTTATTTAAGGTACTAATTCACAAATTAACTAGGGTCCTTGGGAGGGTTTTATGTTTCCTTCTAAGGTTTCTCCTTGAGAGGGTTTTCCTTCACCCTTCCCCTTTTCTTTCTCTCTCTCTTTCATCTCTTTTCTTGTAGGTTTTAGTTGTGAATCTTTGTAGGGGCTTTCACTAGTGTGCTTACTGGCGGTAAGTCCCAAAAACATTTAATTGCTTTTAATAATTAGATTTCATCCTTGTGGTGGTGATTTTTCTATAGCGTGTTTAATTTCTTGTCTGACGAGGATTTTATAATCACGGTAAGTTTCTAGAAGGCTACATGAGTATTTTCACCCAAATGACTAAGAATATTGTATATTTTTAAGGAATTTTTAAATTCTTAGGAATTTTAATTACTCGTAATTCTAAGGTGTTATGTACTTGTGTTGAGGGGCTTTTTTTTTTTATACATTTTTAAAAAAAATCGGAATAGATTGAGTTAGTTATAAATGAAATCTTTTTTCTTTCAATAGTAAAAAGGTTTCACAAATTGAATTAAAAATAGTTTATGAATACACAAATTCTTATATGTGGTTGGCCACACCGTGTGACCAGCCATCATGGGGGTTACTTCGTTTGTGCTATAGGGGTCACTTGGTCAATGTTATATGGGTTACTTGGTCAGTGTAAAAGGGGTTACTTTGTTCTTTTACAAGCGGTCAACATGAAGTGACCAGCCGTACATAAGACGGGTTGCGTCTTGTGTGCGGCTAGCCATACCATGTGATTGCTTGTAAAAGAACAAAGTAGTCCCTATAATACTGACTAAGTAACCCCTATAACACTCACCAGTAACCTCTCTAACATTGACGAAGTATCTCTTGTAACACTGAGCGAGTAACCCACGAAAATTGACCTGAAATCATTGACTCGAAAAATGACTCGAACTTGAATTAACCCGACCCGAAAAGGAGTTGACCTGAATGTGACCCGATGCTCGAAATAACTTGACCCGAAACCCGAAGTTGACCCGACCCAAAATGATACGACTCAAATTGACCCGACCCGAAGTGATCCGATAAGTACTCACATTTTATTTTATTTTTTAAATTTTTAAAAGAAAATTACTTTACTTTCTAATTATTATATAAAAGTTACTCTTATTATTGAAATAAGATGGATTTTTTCCACAAAATTTTTAATTGAATTTATTTTTGGCGATTCGACCCGAACTTGACCCGACTCGAATTGACCAGATCTGAACTAATCCGATTCGAACTTGATTGAAAATTAATCTTGAAAATTGACTCGATCCGAATTGATCCGACCCGAACTCAACCCAAAGTATTGACTTGAAACTTGAACTGATTCGACTTGACCCGAACCCAACCCGAAATGACCCGACCCGAACGACTTGTTTGCTAGGTCTATCTACACAGTCTATAGGTAGTCCATGATCGTGTGTTGCACAAACACAAATTCTTATATGTGACTGGCTACATCATGTGACCAGCCATTATAGGGGTTACTTGGTCAGTGTTAAAGGGGTTACTTGGTCAGTATTAAAGAGATTACTTCATCATGTTATAGGGTTACTCAGTCATTGTTATAAAAGTTACTCGATGAATATTATAGGGGTTAATTGATTAGTATTGTAGGGGTTACTTTATTTTTTGGGTTTTTATAAGTAGTCATATTGTATGACAACCACACACAAGATGGACTGTTTCACAAAAAAATCATTTTGTAGGGAGAAATCACACATTTACACTGATAATAATCTTTGTTGTCATCTCCCAAACACTGTAAGAACAAGCTCAGTCTACGAAGCTCAAAACCACGACTTTCATGGCGGATTTAGCTCTTCAATAATCTATATCACCTTCCATTAATCCACCTTCAATGGATAAGCTCCCTTCGAAGAAAACCCATCTCACAGTTCAAGAATGGGAGTCTCTCATCGACGACTTTCACCATGGAAATTCTCATCGATGGTCTTCTTCAATCTCCTCACTCTCTCTCCTCGATTTTTCTCTCTCTTCTCTTCTCAAGAAGGATTTCCCTCTTCCCTCAAACTCCATCTTCTCATCTTCCTTGACGAATTCGCCGATCAAATTTTTGTTTCTGATGATGAAGAACAAGTTCTTTCGAGATTGATTGATGCCCTGAAAGTTGTAATTCAATCCCCAATTGATGGGGTTTCGATTAATTACTCGCTTAAGGAGCAGATGCTTGTTTCTGTTACTTCGATTGTGATGACAATTTGTTCAATTAGGGTTAGGGTTTTTGTGACTCAAATTGAGGTGTTGGTTGCGATTCTATTGACGATTATTAATCGGCCGAATCATGGGGTTGATCGGCAAACGAGGGCGGTTGCTTGTGAATGTTTGAGGGAATTGGAGAGAGAATTTCCGTGTTTGTTGGCAGAAATAGTGGGGCATTTATGGGGGCTTTGTCAGAATGAACGAACTCATGCTTCTCAGAGTTATCTTCTTTTGCTTTTAGAGGTAATTCATGACATTGTTGTTTGTAAATTGAATGTTGCTTCGATTTTTCGTACTGCTGTTCCTTTAGTTCCTTTTAATGTTCCGCAATGGGTGACTGCCTATAATGGGGAGGATAATGTGGAGGGTATGCATTTTGGGGTTGAATTGTCGGGTTCGAATGAGAAGGAGTTGAAGCGGGTGATGTCGTTTTTGTTGGAGAATTCTCAGGTTTTGACTTGTTGTGGGATGGTGGAGTTCATGTCAATGGTGATGCCATTGGCAGTTGGTTTAGAGCTTCAGAATTCTTTATTGAAGGTACAGTTCACTGGGTTGCTTTATAACTATGATCCCTTGCTTTGGCATGTGGTTTTGATGCTTTGTAAACGGTTTTTGGATGCGTTTGATGGGGACGAGGCTGAGATTTGTAAGCGGCTGGTGTTGATTGCCAAGGTGGGACAACAGCCTTTGGTGTTTCGATTACTGGTTCTTCATTGGTTGTTAGGTTTTGTCGAATTGGTGTCTGAAAAAGATGTTGGGAAAAGGAAGTTAGTTGTTGGGATGAGCTCACACTTTTATCCGAATGTATATGATGCACTTGCATTGAAGTCATTGAAGCTAGATATGATTGCATTTTGCTCTGTCATCATTGATTCAGCCGTGAGCCAGGATGACTTTTCAGGGAAATCTGTGATGAAGTACTTTGAGGACGGTCTTGTCTGTGTATCAGGCTTTAAATGGCTGCCACCTTGGAGCACGGAGACAGCAGTCGCTTTCAGGACCTTGCATAAGTTCTTGATTGGTGGATCAACTCATTCCAATGCTGATCCATCTGCCAGCAAAGATATCATGGAGTCTGCAATCTTCTGTGTTATACAGGTACTGTCATTTACTCTACCTTGTTTTGTTAGCTGAATACTGTATCAATCTTTCAATATTTTGGAAGTAATCATCATATTAGAATTAGAGAACTCTTCGATAAAGCTATGGTAGTGCTTGTAATTCAACACTTAGGGGGGGACCTCCAGTCCACGCAGGTGATAAGAATGCATGCAAAATGCATGGCATGATTGTATTGGTTTGGTTACTTGGTTAGGAATAATTTTCTGGTCGAGTGCCCAGATGCTTGTGTTTTAGGCAGTCTTTTATGTTACACTGAACTTGTACTCCATAGTCCGTATGTCATCTAATATTCAATATTCGATTCATACATAATAGCATGCATCTTTTGTTTGAAGATTGTCGCCTTTCAACAAATGAACGATCCACTCTATGACCATAGAGTAAATCATGTCAACATACTGCTGATAATTTAAGATGATTTGTGATGATCTCTATTATATTATACAAGCCAACTCTTGAGGAGTTCATTGTCCTTTCCTAAATAAAAACATAAAAAAAAAAAAAAAGAGTTCGTTGTCCACCTATAATACCTAAAACACCCTACTTCTTACATGTACTCTTTTATATTTTAATATTTTCAATGCTAAGATAAACAGCTATCGTACATGTTTTTCGAAATGTGAAGCTCTCATCATGTGCATATTAATCTAGTACTATCTAATAAAAGTGTGTTTCCAAACCCTTCTTATAGAATGATTTCTATATTGACTATCTTCGAGGGGTCTGTGGTGACAATAAAGTGGAAATCTCAAGAAATTTGTGCAATCTTAGTGACATCTTTTGTTCGTTCTCTTCTTTTGTTATGTCTTCACATATCATGCAGTCCAGTATGTTAGCTTCTCCAATATTTACTTTTTATAGCCTCTTTGCACCCAAATAATATACAAGCTTTTATTGGATTATATCCTTCTCTTGGGGGATCTATTGAACTTCATTAAGGTTTTGTCCAAAGTGAATAAATAATGATCAAAACGCTTTCTGATTGATTGTGTCGACTCCTCATATATAAGGCAGACATGTGTAGAAGTTAAATCAACAAGGTTGTGGCCTTGTGGGAGCATAAATAAATATGGAAATCATATTGTATCAAGAGCTTCTAAATAATGGGGTTTGAATACAAAAAATAGCAAGGCTGTGCTAGTTTGAGGGAGCTAGGAGATAGCCCTTGGAGCATAATCAGTTTTCTGGTGCTGAATTGTAAAGTGTTTGGATGCAAACTAATGAGATAGATGGAGGTGTAGGAGCTATATGTGAGCTAAGATTTACACTTTGTTTGGATTGAGAAAATTGGAGGGAAAGGAAGAGAAGAGAAATGAAGGGATCCATCCTCCCTTGTTTGGATACCATCTGGTAGAAGGGAAGGGAAGGGAAAGAAAATGGACAGATACCGGTATTCTACATCCATACTTGGTTTAAGGTGTCAGATGCTCTAGTAGTCTAGTTGCGTGGAAGAGGAAGTTAAAGGGCAAGTGGATTGCAGAATTCTGGAAGCTAATTCAGTGACTGTAGGAAGGAGAGAAATTGGTGGATATTTTAAGCGAAATTCCTACTCCTTTTGAGCATTTAAAGTAATCTATATATTAAAGTATCTTGTATAGTTGGACTGTTGGAGTCACTTGCTTTAGCATAAGCATTTACCATCCTTTCTTCATGCTGTGAGTGATAATTCATGGTTTTTATAAATCAGGTACTCCGTATTTGTGGATTGTCTATAGAATTTTTTGTTTGTGTGGGTACTGGGTACACAGGCTCGTAACTTTGTAAGCTCTAAGTTTATTGGAGGCATGTTACTTTTTGTTTCTATTGGGCTTGACCCTTCCTTGGTGTCCCTTCTAGCATAGATCTTTATTTTTCATTTCAAAAGAGGGGAAAAAAAAGTAAAAGAAAGAAAATACGAAAAAAGCATTGGCCAGTGTACAAGCACTACTAAATTGTCAAGCACAGGGAAGTGAAAGACATTTTTATTATGTTTGCTTGTTCATATTTGCACGAATTTTGCTAAAAGTATCTTAATCTGAAACAAACGTAATTGCAAGAAACATTTGTAGCTTAATTTTTTATCAATAAATATGGAGGTAACTCTGAATCTGAATTAATACTACCTCTGCTTTCCTAGCTCCACTCACTTTTACTTTTATTCCAACGTTTTATCAATTCCTCACCTTGTGGGACCCAGTGTTTGAAAAAGCGCGCCTAAGGCGCAAGGCGATCAGGGGTATGTGCTTAATATGGTTTGGCGAGGCATTTTGGGTTAGGCGCACCAAAAGCGCCCGAGGAACACCCCGAGGCGCACTTGAGGCAAACTTCAGCCAAATTTTTTTAACTGGCCATATACTGCTGTGAGGCGCACTGAGGCGCACCTTAGGCGCAGCAGAACCCCTCTCGCTTCAGTGCGCCTTGAGCTTTTTTATACATTGGTGGGACCTTATTGTATTTACAAAACTCTCTCTCTCTCTCTCTCTCTCTCTGTCTCCAAAAAGTGACCTTTATTGGGTTTTTTTTTGGGATCTTTGATACTGAATAGGAAACGGAGGTAGTATCAGTAGGAAATAGTATGCATTTGAACAGAATCTGTGTATGTGGCTTCAGAGCTAGCTACTTTGTTAAGCTTGTGTAAAATATTTCAACTAAGACACTCTATGGGGGTCGTTTGGTTAGAACAATGGAAACGAAGTGGAAAGGAAACAAATAAAAGGGAGGAAAGGAATCATGTAACTATTACATTTTCATTTGTTTGGTTTAATCATGGAAAGGAATCCATTTGTGTTTGAGGAGGGTAAGGTATTTGTTACCCTAGGTTTTAGAGTAGTAACAAATGGGTGGAATCCCTTACCCTTAGGTAAAGGTAATTGTTACCAAATCTCTTAACCAAACATTTGATAACAGTAATAGTTTAACCGAATCCGTTTCCAACCTAAAAAATACACTAACCAAACATGCTCTATATATATACCAAAATAATACTTCAATAGAAGACATCAAGAAATTATTTTAAGAGATTCGGTGACTTGAAAAGGAAGCATTGATTAGTCAGTATCATCTACTCATCTTGGTGAGACTTAGAAACATTCCTTCTCCTTTATCCTTTTATCATAACATTATGTTGACTAGCCAATTGTACTTTAAGAAACATAGGTATGTTCTGTTTTTTTTTTTTTTTTTTTTTTTTTTTTTTTTTTTTGTGTTTGAAAAAAAACTTATGAAATGAATTTGATCTTGATTAAGTATAAGTTTGAATTCCTAGGCTGCAAAGTTTCTTGGAGAAACACAATCAACCAATAAATTGTTATGCCCAATTTGCTAATAATTACTTGTATTTTTCTGTGTGCCTCATCTGTGTGATTGTCTTTCTTTTTTTTTTTTCTTTTTTTTTTCAGAATTTCAGAATTCCATAATTTGCTACTTTGCATTGTTCTTCTGCATAGTTGTTTTCATCTAGAAACCTTGAAGGATGGGTCTTGCTCAAGTAATCCACTGCCCATTATAGTTTCATGTTCCTGGCCTTTAGCTAGAAGCCTAGAACAATAACTCTCACCAATGATTAGAACAAAATGAAAATTTTATCTTTAACATTTCGTATGAGTGATACTTATGCTTTATATGGTAGCCACTTTTTTGAGCAGCTATCTTATTAGAAATAACAAAACTGCTTAAGGTATTCATGTTTAATACTCAAAAGTATTTTTTAAGAATTGCTTGAGTCAAGGGAAAGCTTCTCTCTAGGCTTATCTCTGTTGACAAGGCATTTAGAGATATAAAACACAAGAAAAATTCTCTGTTATAATGAGGAGTGGGTTAGGTCCATCAAATCCATCTTTTATATTTATTGTATTTACATTGTTTTCCCTGATAAATAAATTTATTTTTTTCCCCATTTCTCTTCGTCCCTATATTGAGATTTACAGTGGAAAAAGTGTTTTTTTTTTTTTTTTTTTTTTGCTTTTTTGTGGGGGAGTAAGAGTAAGGGTTATTCTCACAAGATCTGCCTTGCTTTTCACAACGTTGATGTAGTTGTTGTCTCCATCCTCTATGGACAAAACATGGATAGTGAAGCTTTCTACTTTGTTAAGTTTATCTTATGGTTCATATCCACAATTCTATTTTCATTTGTGCATTGCAGACAATGTTGGTGAAGTTGCTATCAGACTTCCAAAAGTTGGTTCCTGTGGTTGTTACATTAATTGATCGATTATTGAGCTGTCAAAAGCACTGCTACCTTGGGGAGAAGCTTCTTCAGATCATTGATGAGCACTTACTTCCTAAGATTGTCATAAACTATCGATTTTCTTTTTATTTCCTGATTTTTGATAGAATTGGGAAAAATGATTCTGTACCTCCTCAAAGATTGCTGGAGTTGCTTATGAAGTTCACAATTTTTCTTGTTGAGAAGCATGGTCCAGATACTGAATTGAAATCCTGGTCCCAAGGAAGCAAAGTCCTTGGCATTTGCCGAACAATGCTTTTGCACCACCATACTTCCCGTTTGTTTATGGGACTCTCTCGACTTCTTGCATTTACAACTCTTTATTTTCCTGATCTGGAGGTTCGTGACAATGCAAGGTACCGTTATGAATCTTATATTGTCATCCCTGCCCCACTTTACTTTCTGCACTCCATATCAAATAACATATAGATTCTCAGCTTTCTGCTTGCATGTTCTATGATTCTTCAATTCTGGAGATAGTAATTTATATGCATTTGCATACAAAGTTTACCAACTAAGGCATGTGGGATGTATCCCTCTCTTTATATTTTAGGGGGTATTTTTTATATACAAAGTTTTCTGGAAAAAAAATAAATCTTTGGGCTTATATTTGGGCCTTCTATGTGCGTTTATATTGTGATTCATTTTTGTTCAGCAGACATGAAATCATGATTACGTAATTTAGGTTACGGCTTTAGAACCTTCTTCATGCTCTCTTTCACCTCAGGGAATATTAATTTATCTGTTCTGTGATTTGTAGGATTTACCTACGAATGTTGATATGCATACCTGGAAAAAAACTCAAGCATATGCTGAATCTTGGGAATCAATTGGTTGGCATCTCACCATCACCTCATGCAAGTTCCGTCTATAATGTTCAATCTCCTCGGTTTTCTGAGGATCTTAAGAAATCCAGAAGTATTTCATCTTACATCCATCTTGAGCGGATGATACCACTGCTTGTGAAGCAATCTTGGTCATTGTCTTTACCTGCTATTGATTATGACGTTGACAAGAATGGCTATGAGGATGGCATCGAGGATAGTGAATCGCAGTTGAATGGTAAAGATTCCAGTGACTATAAAGCTTCCGACTTTTCCCCTGACAATAAAAGATTAGATCAGCCTCAAGAACCTCTACGAGTTATGGATTCCAAAATTTCAGGGACTTTGGATATATTGAGGAAGCATTTTTCATGTATTCCTGATCTCAGGCACATGTCAGGGATCAAAATTAGAATACCCTGTTCTTTGAGGTTTAGATCTGATCATTTCAACCGCATATGGGGATCAGATTCAACAGGAGAGGTTGCTAATGAATTAGATGCACTGCCTGCAATGTATGGAATAGTTCTCAAGTTCTCGTCCTCAGCTCCTTATGGTTCTATTCCATCATATCATATCCCATTTCTTCTTGGTGAATCAACTTTTGTGAGTCCCCAGAAGAAAGAGTCATTGGACATAGTCCCTGCTGGAATCCCCTCTAGTGAAAAGTCAGTATCTAAATCACCAGTTACCATTGAATTGGAACCACAAGAACCTGTGCCTGGCCTAGTTGATGTTTCCATTAATGCAAATGCAGAAAATGGTCAACTTATACATGGCAAGCTTCAGGGGGTCTCAGTTGGAATTGAGGACATGTTTCTCAAGGCTGCTGCTCCATCTGACATCCTGGAAGGTGCAGTTCCTGGATATTACTCACGCCTTTTTAATGCTTTGTGGGAAGTATGTGGTACCTATTCCAGTGCTGGCCGGGAGACATTTTCACTTAAAGGCAGGAAGGGATTTGCAGCAATCCATGGAACACAATCAGTCAAACTCCTCGAAGTTCCTTCAATCTTTGCAGTTCGTGTTGTGGAAAGATATTTAGCCCCCTTTGTTGTTGGTGTGATTGGTGAATCTCTTGTGGAGATTGTGAAGGATGGGGGCTTAATCCAAGATGTTGCGTGGATAGATAAGTCTTCAGATTCTGCTGATGGAAATAACTCGGTTGCAAAGTCTGATGGTGGTCCACTATATCTCACATACTTGGATAACGAAGATGGTAAGATCAACATTGGTAAGACAAACATGGGTTGCTTTCATGTGTTGATATTCTTACCTCCCCGTTATCATCTTCTCTTTCGGATGGAAGTTTCTGATTTTTCCACACTGGTACGAATTAGAACAGATCACTGGCCTTGTTTAGCCTACATTGATGAATATTTGGAAGCTCTTTTTTCTTCATAGATGGGGTTAGTCTATTCCGCGGCTATATGTTGTAGAGAGGAAATTCATTCTGATTTCTCTTATTTGCCTTGTGGCGGTTGATTACAATTTTCTGTTCAGATTCTTTTCCCAGATTGTTTTTTACTTGGGAAAATATTCTTTTTGCATCCGAAATAAAAGATGTACATATTCGAGTCTCTGTCACTTATGTAGTGATTTTGTATATGAAATTTTGAGTCGTTTCTGGCAGTATACTTCCCCGAGAATATAAAGTTACAGTTAATTCCAAAATTTTGGTATCCATCTGCTGTTTTATCTGAACTTGCAAATTTGATCAAATGGCAAAACTTACTGAAAATAAATGTGTGATATCTGTACAGTCGGATAATGCTTTTGATAGAACTTTTGGTTGGGGGGGGGGGGGGGGAGTCCCTTGTAACAGTTTTAAGTAGGGTGAAATTGGATTTCCTTCTTGCAAGGGGTAAAAAGAATGATGTCCAGCTATTACGCCAACTTTGATTCTCTTCTTCACATCAGGGATGGAAAGAGAAAAACAAATGACCTAATGCAACCATTATGTTCACCAAAAAATACCATCTACCCTACTTGTTTCAATTGACCACCCTTCACCCACCTACTTTACTTGTTTCATTTCCTATTCGCTTTGAGAGTGAAATAACTCAGGTGGTTAGAGCTTTTCTCCCAATTCTAAGAGATCTTGGTATCGATTAGGCGTCATTTAGAATCCTCAAAAATATCAAGGAAATATATCATTTATTGGGAGAGGGGGGAAGTCCCTTGTAACAATTTTAAGTAGGGTGAAATTTGATTTCCTTCTTGCAAGAGGTAAAAAGAATGATGTCCAGCTATTACGCCAACTTTGATTCTCTTCTTCACATCACAATTGGATGGAAAGAGAAAACAAAATGACCTAATGCAACCATTATGTTCACCAAAAAATACTATCTACCCTACTTGTTTCACTTGACCACCCTTCACCCACCCACTTTACTTGTTTCATTTCCTATTCGCTTTGAGAGTGAAAAACTCAGGTGGTTAGAGTTTTTCTCTCAATTCTAAGAGATCTTGGTATCGATTAGACGTCATTTAGAATTCTCAAAAATATCAAGGAAATATATCATTTATTCTACTTTTGACCTAAGACCAATTTAGGACTCAATAAGTCTTGTATAAGGTAGGCTTACTTTAATTTTATGGTAAAACAGTCAATATAAAGTTAACATTAACAATTTTTATGGTAGCTTTAATCCATGTAAGGGTAACTTTAATTTGTAATGAAATTCATTGTATTTTAATGTGTAATTTCTAATGGATATACATGCTATGAAAGCTAATGAAAGTCCGCCTTAAAAATCAAGAATTTGTATTTTAGCACTGTGGAATTGAGGAAGTTTTATATTTTATTAGAATGACAAGTAAATAATATAAAATTAAAATAATTGACAAAAAGAATGTTACTCAGAAAATATTTTAGGAGTTATAATTCAATTGTCCCTATATAATCATAACATTAGTACTCGTATTTGACAATGACTTGACATGATAAGTAAGTTAAGCTATTTAGAAGGATAATATTTTACTATGAAAAGTAGTATTGTAGTATAATGTAAAAATGGGTCTGTGTTATATTCAATTATAAAAATACTTCCGTCCTATAATATAATGTCCGTATTTTTTAAATTTTTGTTTTACATAACTTTGCCTTTGTACACTTGGATCATTAGGAAAAATGCCCCTATATTTCCTCAAATTTTCTTTTTACCTTTCCTATATGGTCTACACATATTTTCAAAGCTTTATTAAATGCCATTACTCATTTTTGAGAAAATACTAGTTTATCATCTTGATATGGCAATCTTGTATACAAACAATAAAAAATGTGCAGCATTCATTGTGGAACCGCTAATGGTATTAGCGATTCTAACATGAACAATGCACATTTTTTATAAATTAAAACCAATAATGATGCTAGGATTGCTAGCGAATCTACCATAAATAATGCAAATTTTTAGTCATTTATTTACAAATCTGTCGTTTGATAAACATGCCATGTTTATAAAATTGATCAACTAGAACGCCTCATTCTTAATCCCATAAAAAATGAAAAAAATATTTGTACTACAAGCGGGATTACTGGAAAAGAAAAGATGTAAATGAGCCGAGACTATATCAATCGAAGCTAGACATGGTTTTACTAGAATTTGCCGTAATAGTAATACAGTCTGGTGACTAGGCTCACTGCCACTCACACTACTTGACTAGTATAGCAGATAAAGATCTATCCAAAAAAAATCAAGTTCAACACAACTTAAGCAAACCACCCAATTCTCTTTACTCTGCCATTGATTATCAACTAACTACACTCTACATAGTTGCAGAATGGAGACTCTTTCCAGAGGAAGTTGCCCAGTTTTTATGAACATCTTCTTTTTTGCCAGAAATTCAATTGCAAATTCAAATCAAAGTAGCAGTATATTGTTTCCCAAATCATCTTCACTCAGAAATCCCACTGTTTCTGTCCTTAAATCCCCTTCTCAAGGTTATTTCTATAAATTCCTACTTTTTATTTTCTTGCTACTTAATTATGGGTTTTAAAATTATCCTTTTTTTTTGGGGGGGAAGGGGGGTTAAATTTATGAAATTTCATGGATGAGGTGATCTGGGTGTTACGAATTTGAGTGTAATTTCATCATTTTGAATTGGGGTTATGTATTTGAGGCATTTATTTACTTATAATGGGCTGAAATTCATACTATTTGTTGCCTATCTTATTTCTTGCTCTGGAATGTTGTGTTTGGGTATTATCCTTAAGTTCAAATTAAATTTTTTCTTAATCTTGAATTATGATTGTATTGGTTTTGTGTAACTAGATTTCCATAACTCGCCTGTTTGTGGCAGTTTGTTGTCGTTGTCCTTGTCGTTGTCAGTGGTGTATGAATTCAGGTGAAAGGAATAGTACCTTGGTTTTTATACAGAATTATCTAATGTCTTACCAAACTAGAACTTGTCCTTAGGTGGATCAAATTGGCAAAAGCAAAGATTTTGCATTGTGTACTTGTATGTTCTACCATGAATCCGAGCTTAATTTGTTGATGTGCTTGCTGTCATAAAGCCGGTTGAATTGGCAATTGCAAAGACTCAAATTTAATAGAATTGAACCTATTTTTCAAATTGCCTTACCTCAGTTTGATAGAACACTATTCTTTGGTATGCTTAAGTTGGTGATTGATGGTGGAAATCTCGCGGAGTGCTTTGATATTGTCCGGAATAAGCAGACCTCACCTTGTAAAAATTGACAATATTGACTATAATGTGCTCATGTGACCATGTCTGAAATTATAAGCTGAATAAGGCTGCTCTATTATGACATCATGCTTATATCTTTTCTGATCTTCTTCAGCAAGTGAACGTGCTGATGAAGATGTTTTGCGAGAATTTTTCAGGGAAAGACAGTTGAAGGGAGATATTATAACAAAATACTCTGATAGATTTTTTCAGAAAGAGGTAATGAGAGTCATTGATGATGAAGTTGCTGATGCAGATTATAGCTCTCAACCAAATGCAGAGGTATCGCACACTTTTTAGTTCTCCATTTGTTCCTTGTAGATAATGGTGTAGTTAAGTTCGTCTATAAACCTAGAAATTTATTCAAATATATCTGGAAATCTGGAATTGACCCGATGCATTTTTGGTTTTCTCTAGATAGCCCCAAATTTATTATTCTTTCTAGTATCTAGTATTTTAAGTGATACCTTGTGTCTTTAATTTACCATTTCGATATTCGCATGTTTCAATTTTCTTATGTTCTAAGTATTGTCAGGCCTTGACTGATGAGCCTGACGCAGGGTTTCTAAAATTGACAACAACTCAAGAATGGTTGATGGGTGAAACTTCTGCACCAATCAATAGGAAGCCAACCAATAAGGTCTGGTTTAACATCTGTCTCATGCTTGCTAATGCTTCCTTCTTTCCTCAACCTTTTGTATTTGTAGGCTGTTATACAATTTCACTTCTTGAGGACAAACAGACAACTTACTGATTCGGCATCTGATAATAGGAATTACAGGATGATAGGGAAAGAAGAAGGAGGCTCAACTTTCTAAATTATGAAGCTGTAAGACCCTTGATTTTACATGCATGAAAATAGCTACTCATTGCCTATGTTTTTCTTACCTCAGCTTCAAGATTATATTGAAATTATGTTATATCTGATATCTTTTAGATGATGATGTCCTATTATATTTTGCTTTTACATGAGAAATTGAGAAGTGATTATAATAAAATACTATCCAATTAAGAATTTCTCTTTGTTAAATTATGTCTGACCTTCATTGAGGACGACACTCCACACCAAAGATGGATCAATTATCTTTTTTTCTCAAATTTTTAGTTAAATTATAAATATCCTACTGGAAGCTATCTTTAATCAATGAATCAACTTAAACCTCTCTCCTCTCTTCTCCTCTTATCTTTTACTTATCAATGACATATTTGACAGACACTTCTCACAGTAGTTGATGTAAATGAATCTTTAATAAATACTACAACATACTATATTTTTTACTGTTTTAACTCAATTAGAATGTCAAACTCTGTAATCCAAAAAAAAAATGTCAAACTCTGTAAATTCTATCTGCGTCCTTAGTAAAATAAACTTTCTTTTATATAGGAATATGTCAAGCCTTTTACTTTTTGCAGTAGAGGACTTTAAAAACATTCAATGTTGGCCAAAATGGTTAAACAAAGAGTTCTTGGTGCATTTCAAACAAAACTCTAAATATCCAATGGAAGAATTGGTAATATTAGTGATTAACAGGAATAGGGTGCAAATTCATCATTAAGATTGATATGAGGTTGGAGCATCTGCTTATAAACTACTCCCTCCATCCCTAAAAGATTTATAAAGTAGTTTACAATCAATTTATGATCAGAGATTAAATATTACTCTTATGCTAGTTCCTTCAGGGAAAAATTATTAATTCTACAGTAGATTTAAGGTTTGTACAATTAATTAAGATGGCCTAAGAAATATTTCATATTCCTAACTGTAGTCAAACAGTACTGTTCCTGACCCTTTTTTTATGCTAATTATCATGATGGGAAATTCTTGTATATATAGCCACAGTAAACTAAATATAAAAATAAATAAATAAATAAATAAACTATTTTTATTTCCTTATCTAAATTCTCTAATTTTTCCCATGGATCATCTCCAAGTTTTTCTAGCTGATGGGTCATTAGCGTTGCTGATGTTAGTATGATTACATTTCCAGCTTAAGAGGGAATTGCAGTTCATGACTCTGGGGATTGGAGCCGCCTGTACTGGGTATTGCTTATTCATATTCTCAATCCAGGTAAGATAAGTAAAAGGAAATTATGTACAATCGGTATTCTCATTTATGCAGATAGCATATCTACAAAAAACTTGACTATAAAGCTACTATGTAACTGCATTCCTCTGGCTTTTTTTTCAAACTGTATGTCTTGCTTATCCAATAAGTTGTCATGAGTAGTGCAAGTGCAACTACAAAGAACCACCTACTATGTTCTGTGATGCGGTCAATTAATTCCTTCTAAAAATTCTTTAATATGCTCAAGATAAAATTCTTTAATCACAAGAAAAAATGTTACGGAGTATTTTCTTTAATATAAATATGATGAATCTTGAAACAATGAAAACCCTGAAGCTATACCTAATCTTCTGTTATAATATTATTTCCCCTTGATTATAGCAGGTGATAATATTCTTGAACCTGGTATAGTGGTATATGATTCTATTTTCTTACTTATGCATTTCTTTTGTATGTTTCTTAGGCAGCAGTGAGTTATGCTTCAGGAGTTGGATTTAGGTTAGCTTCCTTCTTTAATAGTTATATTCTAGGTGTTGGTGAACTTGAATATTGTGAAGGTTGATAAATTGAAGCCAAGCCTTTGAGATTCTCTGTAACTGCTCAGCTAATATTTGTCATTAAACTCTTGCAGTTTCTTGTATCTGCAACTGTTGTATCAGCATGCGGACAACATATCACAGGATTCAGTTCCACAAATTTTCCGGCAAAAGAAAACAAAGAAGTACACCCTTAAATTTACCTGACCATCCTTATTTTTCGCCTTTCTTACTATGCTAAACATTAAAAAAATGTATAATAATAATTAATAAAAGATTACATCCTAATTATTCAGATGACTAATGTTGTGCTTCTCTGTCCCTTATTGTCTACTGTCATACTGATCAGAATTGGAATACGAAGTGAGGATCTGAAAGATTCACTAGAAAAATCAGTCAAGGGAAGTGGGATTGCTCTTTCGTCTCCAAGACTTGTAATCCCTGCAGCAATATATGGATTATGGGTCCTGCTTCACCAGAACTTTGCTACTGATCTCTTTGATTTCCAGGTATTACACGAACTGTTTCAGAATGTGGCTGGGAGTTTTGATGTCTACGTATTTGGTCTTAAGCTCTTAACTAACCTTCTGATTCACTGTTAGATTGTGCCTGCTATGTTGGGATTATTTGCTTACAAAGCTGCCGCGCTCGTTCAAGTTTATAGAGATAATGAAGACTTACAATTCATCTTTCCAGATACTGAGGAAAGCTCAGGTGTCTGAAACTCATGTCTTGCTTCAAACATAGAACATTTTACCTTCCCCAGTTCAGAAAGCTATTGTTAATACTGAAACTGAAATTTTGGTGCTGGAGGCTGGAGCACACTTTTTCTTGGTAAAAAATTCTATATATGTATGAGTTGGTTTGATCTGTATGTATTGTAGGATACTAGGAGGCATATGTAGTACAGAGATCCAACTTTCTGCCTTTGTAGGTACTATAGCAGGTGATAATATATTTGTTGTACCCTTTCCGTTGGAGCTATGCCATTAGTAAGCCATCCTCGCTACATTTTTTTTTCTTTGAATTTGGACTAGTGTCCGTCCTCCTAAACTTCTCTCTACTTTTTCACCTTTTTTTAATCTTCGTGAAGTTTCTCATGTACAGATTAATCATGGAGTTATGAGTAATGTAAAAATGAAAGGATTGTTAGCAAAGGCGACAGTTGATCTAGATCAGGCTTCTTTTGAACCAGATTTGTTTATAAAACAAAAGATAAAAGTTGTGCTGTAAAATTTGTTAAACAATTTTAGTCTACTGTTTTTTATAATTAATTTCAGCATTATTTGTGTTCTTATTTTTGAACATCACTCTAGTCCCTCTCATCATCTCTCCACACATGAGATTCTAAAACAAATGCCCACCTACATGGCTACATTTAGCAATAATAAAAACTCAAGAATATGACGTCCATCACTCCAACACTCCATAGAATTATATTTCTCCCGCTAAACTCTATCAATGTAACATTCCTCGTAAAAAGCTTAATCTCTTAACATAGCCTTCCCAAATCCTACTGAGGCAGTGACTTTGGCTTATCCCACACAGTAGTGAAAAGGAGAGTACCTTCCGATCATGAGGTTGGAGGTTCAATCCCCAATAGAGACACTGTGGAACAGGAGATTCCCTTACCATCCCCCCCACTCTCCCAAATTGTCTAGCCACTAACCCAAGTCGGGTTGGCACGTGAGGGAATTTGGCTCGGTAGGCCTCTTAATCTTACCTATCAAAAACAATATAATAAAAGCCCACATAGTACTACTCTCATGTCTAAATGACAATAGGTCATCTGCAATGTGCATAAAAGGCCATACTCTGACAAGCTCCTCGATGCATAGGAAAAATTGCCAAACTGAGCGTTTTTGGAAAACAATTTCCCAAACAAGACGCGTGTCAAAACTATTTACCAAACTAAGCTTTCAGGGTAAAACGCCAACCAGGGTGGCGTTTTACCCTGGGCAATTTTTTTTTTTAATTTTTAGTCAAAGGTAAAACGCCATCAAGGGTGGCGTTTTAATGCTGGGCAAATTTTTTTAAAAAAAACATTTACACAAAAACGCTAACGCCGTTGGCGTTTTACTTTTAACACAAAAGCGCTAACGTCGTTGGCGTTTTAGAGTGTTGGGGTTGTCGTTGTTGTAGTTGTTGTGGTTGTTGCTGCTGTTGTTGTTGCAGCTACTGTGGTTGTTGCTGTTGTTGTTGCAGCTCTTGTGGTTGTTGCTGCTGTTGCTGTGTAGTTGTGTTTGTGTGCAGAGATAAAACGCCAACCATGGGTAAAACGCCAACGGCGTTAGCGTTTTTGTGTAAATGTGTTTTTTTAAAAAATTTGCCCAGCAGTAAAACGCCACCCTTGATGGCGTTTTATCCTTACTAAAAATTAAAAAAAAAAAAATGCCCAGGGTAAAACGCCATCCTGGTTGGCGTTTTACTCTGGAAGCTTAGTTTGGTAAATAATTTTGCCACGCGTCTTGTTTGGGAAATTGTTTCCCAAAAATGCTTAGTTTGGCAATTTTTCCCGATGCATAAGTTGTTTGAAAGTGAAGTATACAACATCAGCTGAATGGGGTTGGGCTAACAAGAAATACATGCATCAGAACACAATAACACATTGAAACAGTAGCAAATATAAAATTATGACGAACACGAGCAAATCCACAGACTACATATGGAGAAAAGTTAGCAGTTACTATCAGAAAGTATCCCTTAATTTAGGTTACGTACAAAAAACTAATTTAATAATTATGTACAGAAGATATTCGCAACAGAATGTTGATAGGGAGAAATAAAGGGGATGAAAGCCTACTGCTACAATTTTCTAGGCTTCATGTATTTTTCTAATTCATCCAACTATATCATGTATTGTACTATTGTCTACAGATCAGACTCTCGCATGAGGTGATTTAGTGATGGTGTCTTGCAAATATCACAGCATCTTCATCTCTCTGCGACATGCAGCATGCTCTCATGGAGCTCAGTTAGGTTCTATGTTTTCCACGTGCAGCAATGTCAATCAGCAAGTCATCAAAACCTTCGATATAACCAAAATTTCCAATCCACTATCGCTCAGAAGACGTTTAAACTTCAAACCTGTGGTTTGAGAGGAAGTAGGCCAAAGAGAAAGTTGCCCGACCGGATGGGGTATTCAACTCATTCGTAACATAAATCTGATTATCAAAATGTCATCCATACACATCATCAGGTCCAATTTGAATACAGAAGCATTAAAATTGCAAGAAATCATAATTTTCTATTGATCTTCACACGTGTACTCCCTCCATCCCCAATATAATTACCTTTTCTCACAAAATGCTTGTCCCCAAATAAAGTTTCCATTTCATATATGAGTTGAGTTCACACAAAAAGCCAGACAAACAAACATTAAATTAACTAGCTAATTTTATTTTATTTTTTTCTAATATTTCACTTAAATTAAAAAACCACATTTTTTTTCTCACCACATAATAATAAACATTAAAATATACCAACTTATATTATGCACCTTTAATCAGCAAAACCTACTCTACAATTTTTAACTCCTAGATTCTTGAGCCTAAGAAGAAATGGGGCCTTTATTTGAGGACAGAGAGTATACAGTTTCATTGTATTTTAACTCAAGTATCAGTGCTTCAATGTTTCAACCTCACTCAGTCAACTGTTACAAGAAATCCCAGTCTTCCAGCATACAATATATTCTTCTACACTACAAATATTGTAAAAATGTGTTTAGTTATACAAATACAATATAAACAGAGCTCATTACCTCGTAGAAAGGACTATCTCCAATCCTGCCCACTTCTGGATGCTGAGGAAGGCCTCACAGAATCATTTGAATTCCTACTTTTAGATTCGTTATACTTCTCTCCCTTCTGTTCAGCAGCATCTTTTTGCTTACGCTGCATTTCCTCTGCATGCCTTTTCCAAAGTGCTTCTCTATCTTTTCTAGGCATTTTCGAATACCTAGGGTCTGATTTCAGAAATCTTTTAGCAGTAGACCAAGAGCTAAGAACAGTTCTCCCGTCTTCTGTCTCTTTTGTTGCGGCTTCAGGAGTTATAACCTCCGCCAAAAGAGCTCTAAAGTCATGTGCACACCTCTGGACATTGAAAGAGGCAACAAACTCCAAGTTAAACAAGCCTGGGTGGCTGGGGCAGGGGTGGGTACAGAAAATATGATCAAGCTGAAAGTTAAATCACAAAAACCTTGTGGAACTAAATCCGCTCCAAAGTAGATCGAAATTTTCACAAACTAATTGGTGCACAGTGTTTTAGGAGATAAGTTGTTCAATAACTTAGTGTCATTTCAATTGAAAAATATATGGTAGGAGTTTGTGGGGCATATTGTGTTGTTACTTCAATGAAAACATGTGTGAAGGGAGAGAGTGGGTCTAAAAGGAGAGGTATGAAATATTTAAAAAAAGGTGGTGTGTGGTACCTTTCCTACAAAAAGGAAGTGTTAAACTATTTTAGGATAGATGAAAAAGGAAACTAATCTAAGACACATGAAGTATTTAATAAGAATAATTCGCAGCAGAGGTTTACTCAGATCCTCCATCCAGATAAATTGCAGCATACGATCAAGCACGAGCAAGATTATGCACAATCATACAGAAAGCCAAACTCAAATTAGCAGGTTTGGCACATGTAATAAATGCCTGTTTTAGGTAGGCAGTCACAGATCCTCAATCCAAAAAAATTGTCACCCTGCCCTAACCGTTATAATTAAGGAGTGGGTAATTTAATGGGATAACTACGTAATTTTCACAATTCGCATGATACGCTTCACATCTAACTCTGTGCATCATACTTATCCATACAAAGCTGTATAATAGGCGTGTCCAGGCCCTCTTTCCTCACTCGTTCCAAGCAAGGAGAAACTTGGGAAATCTTACCAATCTATTAATACACTTCGTATTTGAAATATGTTTGCTTCAAACTTCTCTTAGACATCCAAAATAGCATATGGAACTGTTAATTGTATGATATTACACTTCCACTTCCAGCCACCATCTCAACTATTCAGAACACTGAAGGAAAAGAAAGGGAGGAAGGAGAAGGGGAGGGGATGGAAGAATGATGAGTTTTCCTTCCAAATCTCTCCTTTGTTATCCAAATGAAAGATAGTCCATCCCTCCATTTCCCTTCCCTTCCCTCCATTTCCTTCAATCCAAACAAGGTGTTACAGTCACCATCCCAATTATTCAGAACACAATTCATATTTTGGAGTAACTGCTTTCACTCCCTTCCCAACAATGCCCCCCCCCCCCCCCACCCACCCACCCACACACAGAGGCCTTAACACATAATCAAAGTCCCCCTATTACTTCTTTTTGCCACATGTCTCTCAAATACAGCTTAGAGCTAACCAAACTACATGATTCTAACTACGAAACAGATGCAACTTCTTGGTATAAGTACTAGGGTCAGCATTTGTGTCATAAAATTCAGAAAGGCAGCAAATAAACTCAAACAGCACTATATGCATTGTAGCAAAAACTTATATCAAACATTATAATGAAGCATTATAGCATTTTTACAACTTACGTTATCAATTTTACAACCCCCACACCCCTCTCAAGGGCCCAACAAAAAAAATTGCCGAAAGCCAATTGCTAAAAAATGTATAATGTACAAAAAAAAAAAAATACACAATAATTAGCAAATTAGAAATACCAGAACAAATTCACGAACGAGATTTCAGCACTTTTGTCAGCTCAGAGGATTGGAACAGTAATGATAATTTACAGGACCAAAAGGCACAGCAAAGGCCATTAAATTGAAAAGAAGATGATCATAACTCTCCTACTGCATACCTCATAAAGCATCTTGACATGTTCTCGAAAGAGCTTCTCCAAGTCAGATTCATCCAAATCAGGATTGGATGCACGTCCTTGTGGATCTTTCGCAAGTTTAGGTTTTGACTCCGTCCAAGATGCCTAGTAATAGAAGTTGGCAAACATGAACTAGCCATTGACCTAATAAGAGTGCCAGAAATTGAATAGACTACAGTTCTAGAAAGCAGATCCATCACAAAAGTTCAATAAAGAAAGTTTGTATGTCAATATGGAAACTCAAATACGGCTAAAGAGCCAACATTAGTTCAAGTTGTTCAAAACGGAAGAATTTCAGGGTGATATTCTTATACAACAAATGCTGGTGTATTCGATTACATGGATACTTTAAAGTCGTAGTTGGTGTACTGTAACCCCCTACAGATTTTAAATGGTGGTTTGTATCTGGAATATGGGAGGGATCAAGGAACATGAATGACAAGAATGGTGAGACACTATAAAAATGACAATTGAGGATGAGGAGTTTAAACTTGAAAGAGTGGTAAGCTCTTCTAGCTCCTGCACCCGTAACTCTGGGAATTAAGCCAGTAATTCTGCTGGCACTACTGAGACTAAGAACCCCACCAATGCCCCAGTGTGCCTTCCATAAAAAAATGATGGTAATCTGGAAATCAAGAATTTACCTGAGGATTTTTTATTGTTTCAACCAGTAATGCTTGATATGATGCAACTGCTTCCTTTCTACGAACCTTCACCCGTACTCTCTCCATCTCTTGCTCCTCTCTTTCTTTTCTCTTTCGAAATTCCCTCTCGCGCTCTTTCAATTTCTCCTGCAATAGAGCAGCATATTTAAAGGATCTTCATTTACCACAACAGAGTCGTATAAAAAAAATTATAACAGAGCATTATTCAAAAAAAAAAAAAAAAAAGGCAACCTTATCCTACTAGCACTCTAACTTTCCAGGAGTAGGTAAACAAAATTTCCTAGATACACAGTACTCTACCGATTGTAAGTATAGTGATTCGGTACATATGATAAGCTGATAATCAGGCGATTCAAATTACTTCTTAAATTTTAAAGGGAATCATTATTCCAAGGTACTTACTACTCAAGAGCTTTCCAGTTCACTTTTGTTGTACGTTAATAAAAATTAAGAAGGATAAATAAATAAATATATAAACAAATAAATAAATAACAATTTGGGGAACCAGATCCGTTGCAAATGTCATCATCAGCATTGAAAAGAGAAGATGGTTCTTCAACCATAACACAACGCATATTAAATTTGAGTAACCACAGAAGTATTTAGAAGACTCTTTCTGTAAAGATTAAGAGCAAACACATGGTTGTGTTGAACACAAGATGTGAAAATTTTGTATGGTAATTCAAGAAGTACATAATAAGAACACACCAGGAGGGTGGAAGGCTTTGACCTAGATTTCTGCTCATTAACACCTTTTAAGGGAAAAAAAAAAAAAAAAAAAAAAAAAAAGGGAGAGGGGGGGGGGGCGCTAACAGATATCCTAACTTAAGCAACTTCTGTACCTGTTCCTCCCTTTTTGCCTTTTCTGCCCTCTCAGCTTCATCATCAGCAGCCTTTAACTCCGATATGTATTCATTAAAGAAAACCTCTCGATCTTCATGCTTTACAGCTTTGTACCTGCTGTCGTCCCGAAGGCCATCCTTCACCTGTGACATTAGTTCTTATTAATAAAGCTGCAAGCAAGTTTCTATTAAAGCATAAGACAAAACCTATTGAATTGAAGTCATTAACTTTTGCATAACCTTGTACCAATAAATTTAAGAAACTTGACATTTCACAACCAACTTAATAGCCAAGTCTTCTAAGCCAATTCTAATTGGTAACCAGAAAAAAAGAGGAAGTTCCATGGTAGCTTTCATTCAAAGCCTCAACATATATAGATATTCTTTTGGGGGGCTTGTGCTGGCAGATGAGACTCTCAGTAGGATTAGCACGTGTAGATGTATGAGTTATGGAGAGCTTTCAGTTTTCTGCTGGAATTTTAAATGTTAAATGTATAAGTTGATAACTCAAATTGAAAAGACCTTTTTCCAAGAATATGTATTTTAGTTAACAGAAACTATTAACAACACCGAGCACACCTAATGTTTGAGTTGCACTCTGTGTCTTCAATTTCACAAAAAAAACTAATGTAAATACACCGCTCAAACAAATACAACAATCAACAGGAAGGGCGGTCCAAATTTGTAAAATAGAAATTAAATGATATAACGATGTTATACGGTACAGTTCTTCCTTTATCAACTTCACTACATCTCCACAATTTCTGATATCAGTACACTCATCAAAGCCACAATATTAAACATTGTTCTGAAACCACACTATAAAGCACTCACCCTGGACCAACGAGAACTTGCTGTTATGTCCCCTCTTTCTTGAAGCATGGATTTAAAATTAGAAACAGCAACCGCACGTTCAGCTCGGGCTTTTTCTTCAGCAGCCCTCTTTAGTGAAAGAACCCTGCAATTCACAAAATAATGTTCAAACAATAGAGAAAGAACTTGAGATATTCTTGAGAGATGAATGCAATCAATAAAATCACACAATGTACAAGATGGAAAGTATATGGAACAAAAAAATTCTAAATCTTAAGTCAGTTTTTGAGATAAGGAGTGATGATCATCAATTTCACGACGTTTACAAAACAGGTATAAGAACAAATCACAAAGGCAGAACTAGAAATCATGTTGATTTATGTCCAACACACTTTCGAGTTTCGACAAAACTAAATACAACTGTGGTGCTTTGTGCCAGGTCGATACAAGGACTTGTACAATTCACCATTAGCTAGAATTTCTACCATGTCACTTGATAAGTGAGCAAAGAGAAGAACTCAAGCATCACTGCTGAAACTCTGAACAATTTAATACTTGAATATTTTTCAACATGGATCAGAGAGAATGGATAGAAAGTAAAACTGTACAAGACATGATTTAATATATTAAAGCACATAACTATTAAAGAAGAACCAAAGATGAATAGAGAAAGCTCAAAGGTTGTAGATTAAAGCAGAACAAAGGGTATTAGCTTAGGACATGAAACTTGTGACTTAAAGAGCTGATTTGATAAACAGTGATAAATAGAGGTAATAATAATGAATTTATAATTTTATATGTAAATTTGTAGGCTCATTTCCATCACCATAAATAATCTACCAAACAAGCTGTAAGAGCCTATAGCAGATGTGGAGAAAATACAAGATTATCTTCATGATAAACAAAAGAGTGTTTATCTAATGGCATTTCTGTAAATAATTCAACAACTTTTATTAAATACGGAACCCACTAATGTTGATTTATTTACGAAAATGCCATGCTGACTGGGATATTTTGTTGATTTATTTACAGAACTGCCACTAGATAAACGATTTTTTGTTTATCATGAAAATAATTTGGGGCACCCTCGTAGATGTGAGCTTAAGGGAATTTCTGCAATATTGAGAGAGTTCAAGAAACCACAAGGAATAATTATGATCATTTTTCATTTCATTTGAAATCATAGTCCAGAGATTATATGTTATATACTTATGTACAGAGTTGCAGGCTTGCAAAAAAAACACTTAGCTGATTCCAAAATAATAAACCAGCAAAGCAAGTAGGTAACTGGGTATGAGGCAGAGGAAGCAGGTTTAGCAACCATACTGAACTACCCAATCGACAACTCAAAAAAAAAGACTCTATTGGCCCTCTGGCCCAAGCTTAACTTGGGAAAAGAAAACTTGGCCAAAATAAAGAAAAGCACTTCCATTAAGCATTGAGCAACTATGTCTGTTTAATGTATCTAGTCCAAATAAAACATTATGAAAGACAGTCCAAAATAAATTCAAGAAAAATGAGGTCAAGATAGTGAAGAACGGAAGAAAGTACGAAGCACAATAAAGCCATTGTACCTCTCATTAAGCAAAGCCTCTCGATCCTTGCGCTCCAAAGCCTCAAATCGTGGATCATGGCCCCATCTCTTCCTAAATGTATAATAATCAGTAGTATGGTCAATATCCTGAAAAAAGAAAAGAAAAAAAAAAAAAAAAATTAAACTCAAGTAAGAAAACTTCATGTCTTCGTGCAAGAATTAATTTTAAATTAAATTTAGAAGTGCACCCTCCTTCCGTATGGACATAATATTCTCTACAGCAAATACAAAAAAAGTTGAGCCAAAGCAAAATTAATATCGTAACCACCTCTTTTGACTCTTCCAACAATTGCTTGAAACCCTCCACTGCAGCCTTTTGAGCCGCTCGTTTTTCCTTACGCTCCTGTTCAGCTCGTGTACGAACAAAATGCTCAAATAACAATCGTCGTTCAGCATAAGTAGGTATTGCCTACAGATGGAAGGGGGGGGGAAACAAACTTTTTTTAATGGCAGGACTGATTGAAAAGAGGAAGAAATAAATTGGGACTTAGTGGGGGAGTTAATCAGTTAAGCATAGCAAAGGCAAGGACACCCAGCAGCAAGCATCTACAGCATACACAAACCAATATCATTCACGGTAAGAATCTCTGGTGATACAGACTTTAACAACAAATATATATCATATGTGTCCCTAATGCAGTGATGAAAACTCAAAAGTTATGGCAGCTAGGAAGCTGACTTCTAGCAAGTTCTGATGGGTCTAAAATTTGTACTTGTAGGCTCATGACATTGGGCATAGCATTAAATAAAGCCCAAAGAACTTTTCATGCTGCTCATTGGAACGCTTATCAGTTGGCCACTTTTCTTTTATTTACATGTAAAGAAATTTACATTAGTTTATGAGGAAAGAAAACATACGATTTCAAACTGTCTTAAGGAATTCAAATAGAAAAGAAAGCAGCTAAACAATCAAGGAACTTCAGACAAACTGAAAATTCTATATTTAGGCCAGCTAATTAGCATGCGCACATGGCCCACCCGTACTCAACAAAAACGTTTATTTTCAGACTACATGTTGATAGTAAATTAATCAGAAAAAAACACAAGAACCTCATTTGGCATGAACTTCATAAGCAATGTAGTCAGATATATAAACTTAATTAACATTACATTAGAGCTAAACAATCTATGCAGCTGCAAAATACCTATTTTGAAGGAATGAATTCTAATTTTGATGGTACGTAAAAAAACTCATATGCAGCTTATAGACAAGATAGCAGAGTGCAGCAAGATATTACATGGGAATCTATTCAGCAGGTAAATTTATCTGATTAGACCTGCTTAAGGAAAACCCTTTGCAGAGCCCTGGATCCTCAATACAGAACATTCCAAATCTTGAATTGAACGAACCTTGAAGCGTGGATCAAATACAATCTTCGGCAATTCTTTATCCCACTTAGAGAAAGGTGCCACTCCACGTTCTTTTAGCATATCCTGAAATTCCAGATCATGCAAGATCACCCTATGTTACTTAAACCAAATTGCAATAAATGGGTGGTTAAATTAATGCAATGTTGCTTGCCAGCTTAAAAAACAAAAGGACTGCTCTTTCTGACCCAAAATAATAGACCACACTTCAAATTTAGTTCATTTTAAAATACTCTTTTGCATTCCGAAATTAATAAAAAATAAAAAGTTGAAACTTCTCACATAAACTTAATGATAACCCTATAAGAATTCCAAAGAAAGAATAAATTGACAACGGGAATATAAAATTTACATGGAGAAGCAAATTCTGATATTTAGCGTCTAGATTCCTAAATAAAAACCCCAACTCAGATGTGGCCAATTATTAAGGATAGGGAGAACTTTTAGTTTTGATAATTAGGGGGATAATGTAACGAATCAGGCCAACACACCACATGTTCTTCACACTTGCAGCAGGAAGCAGAAAAAAGGGGTAGGCTAACACACCACTACAAGGGGAAGCACTACCTTAAAGCTGCAGTAGTTTTTAGGTTGGCTTATTAGCTGCCATGTTGGCTTTTAGGGATGAAGACAAAAAAAAGTAAGGGTAGCAATTAAAGTTGTACTGGCTTAGCTAAGTAGTAATGTAATATAAATAGGTAGAGAGTAGTAGAAGGAAGATATTCAAAAATTTGTATTGGGGAAACCTTAGTGATTTAAAGCCGTTGTTAGAGAGATATAGCCTCAATAGCCTAAAGCTATTAAGTCTATCACTTTGTAACCCTTTTGCCATTTTCAATCAAAGATTCAAGCTTTAATCTTTATTTACTTGCCTTGTCTGTCTATTACATCTAACTAATAGCCTAAATTGGACTCTTAAAAAGAAAATAAGATCCTTTCAAAATAAATAAGCTATTTTTCTAATCAAGAATATACCCCCTACTTTGTTCACCTTATTTATAAATATATCAGGAAAAATAAAGTTCATATAATTTCAGATAAAATAAGTTCAAATAAGGGTTAATATGGGCTACCCAAGTTCAATCTATAACTAAAATAAGTTCAGATAAGTTTAGGTGAACAGAACACAGTCAACACACCCTTAGTAAATAGACAGTGACCATTTTTTCCATTGTTTAATTTTTTTACATAAGAAAGTTACCTTCGATGTAATGGGGATCAAATTAAAGACCCAAAAGCCTATAATCTCATTATTAAACCCTAATCTAGATTACATTCCAATCTAGGCAACATCTATAGAATATCAATACATGCAAACAGCAAGAACACATGCACTCTTTACATGCATCATCAAATATAAAATCAGAATATCCACTCTCCCATAATCAGCCGATCAAGGTCAAACTGCAAAAAGTAAGTGCAGGCCCATAAGCAGGAAACTTATATGGATCCAAATACTTCTCAAAAAAAAAAAAAAAAAAAAAAAAAAAAAAAAAAAAAAAAAAAAAAAAACCAAAGGATTCAAATATACAGCCAGTCATTAATACGCAGTAGTATTCTTAAATAGCTCAAACAAAATCCTTCACCTTTTAAATCTCTGATTCTGAGATTTAATTAGAATGAAAGATGCATTTGCAAGGAACATACCAGATAGCCCCCACCTTAAGGATACAGTGGCAAGCTTCAACTAGCTGGGAACTTTGCAAGTATAATAAGACATGCAAGAAAAACCACAGCCAATACTCTAGAGCACCATGTTATAGTAAGACCCTAAGAATACTCTTTCAAACAGGTCACTCAGTCTACATGCAATATAAATCTCAGTTTGAGTAAACGAATTCTGTTCTATTCTTGTTTTTCAATCAAGGTTGTGGGATTCAATTTTAGATTTTAAAACAAAATTCATTGAATAGCAAAACTAATACAAAGTGAGGGACCAGAAATCCAAAAAAATTCAAGGCTATAAAAAGTCTCTCTATACACCTAAAACTAACACATTAAGGAAATCCCCATGAATGTGAGCCTAAAAAGAAGCTTACTTTACTCACTCCCAGATGATAACCAAAGAAGAGTCCCGACACGGAAAAATCTATCAATCCTCTTCAACCAAAACAGCCACGATTTGGAAAACAAAGCATCCAGCATTTAAGCCACAAAATATTGAGCCCCTTTGCCTTCCAAACTTCATATACTGTATTTATTATGACCTCAAGTCTAATCGAAGCAATCTGATGGATTCAGAGCACAACAGATAGCCTCCACCAAAGAAACATCACCATGTGATAACACAAATAGACATTATTCCTTATATCTTCACCAAAGAAACATCACTAAAGCCTTTAGCCACATGAATCCCAATCAATAAACAATGACATCACACTTGACCAACATTGTATAATTTATGAGTCTGTGCTACATCACAAGGATGCTACAACAAAGCACCCAAATGCAAATGAACTAAAAACAACAATAGGGAATAGAAAGTAACCTTGAATTGAGCTATGCGCTCCTCCTTGGTTGGTCCACTATCTTCATCCTCTGAGTCTGATGATGAGTCAGATACATTGCCGTCTCCTTCAGCATCTTTTGGCTTATCCTTGTTTCCTTCACTCTGGGAGCCCTTAGCTGTAGGCTCAACTGTTTTCGACCCATTAACTTCTAACAATGTTGATCCTGACGAAGTAGTTGAGAAAGATGTAACCTGAGCTGCTCCTGAATCCTGAAGCTTTTTTTTAATTAAATCAAGGGCAGATGATGATCCTGGAGCAACAGAGGCTCTAAGGGCTATGGCATCACGACCACCTGTGTTGAGAGCAGGAGCACTTAAACTAGTAGGAACAGATCCTTTTTCATTTAATTCATTGGAATTTGGCATTGAAATCGAATTTTCTTTTACGTTGTCATTTTCCTGCTTTTTTCTCAGCTCGGTGACCTCTAGTGGTACTTGCCAGCTGCTAATCTGATAAAGACATTACATATGGCTGAGAACATCCATAGAATAATTAAAATGACACAATAAACAAATAGCGAATTCAAGACAACAGTTATTTAACATTTCAACAGTTACTAAAAGCTATAAAAACAGAGTAGCAGACAAATTGGAAAACATGTAAATGGGCCAGGAGACAGATGAAGAAAACAAACTTCAAGAAATCCAAATGGATGACCTTATATACATTGATCATAACTGGACAATTCTCTAAACATGTACCAGTACATTTCAAAAATGACGATTGACAACTGTCAGAAAATTGCAAAGTACTTTATACATGAAAAGCAGATCATCCTTGCAATACATTGCAGACATGTCAATTTAAAATCCGAAAAGTCAGATAACACCAAGCATCTCTTGAGAAAGTCCCTACACATAGTACTTTTGTTCAAGGCTAGTGATATGCATTTACATACTATACATAATTTGTTAATGATTTAGGGTATTCTACGGCACTGCTTCCCAAACAGAGGACCAGCAAGGTGGTTAGTGAGGAGATAAGATCCATCTTGGGACCCAAATCTTATGTGTCATAACAGTCAGTTGAGATTGAATGCACCTCATTTAGAAGTCATATTACCTCTGTTTTGGTGTTATAATAGTACTTTTTTCCATCATTGGTGGAGACCAGAGCCCAATCAGTGCCATTCACCTTCTCCCTACACAACATATATTTATAAAATTAATGGGACAATAAAGAAACCTAAGCAAAGAAACTCAAACAGACTTACAAGACCACCACTCTTGAAGTAGTAAAAATAAAAATAATAAAAAATACAAAAACCCTAAACTAGATAAAGACTCCACTAACAAGATCCTCTAAAAAACTTAAAAATTATTACTTGCCATTGCAAACCTTTCCTTCCCTCCCCACCTGTCAATCACCATATAGCCAAAAATCTAGCTCCCAGTCTCCCACATCCCAAACAAACATCAACTCAGCTACTCAAATGAACATTATAGAAGCACTCTAAACAAAAAAATCAGAAGTTATGGATCAACTCTCTATTGAATTCAAGAATATAAACATACTAGCAATGATCAGAATCATTTGTTTTCAGTTCATCTTTGGCAGGGGTCTGCCGCTTTCTAACTGCCCAAAAACCAAAATGTGCTTTAGGAGGAGCCTTTGACTTTCAGGTGGTCTAAAAGGGGAAGCCGGACAACCAGCATTACCAGCCCATTCAAATCTGTTGCAGTATTTCCTCGCAGAATATACACCACCACCATAAAACCATAATTATCACTGAATATGTTACATGGACTCTACATTTCACCTTAAGTACCCATGTTGGACCCTCGACACTCGGACATGAGTATGACACAAAATAGCCGAGTCGGATGCTTGGACACATACCCATGTCAAGTCCATGTAACATAGATCATCGACATTAAATTAAGCTGATTACATGTTTGTGAATATTTATCAACAGAGGAAGTATATATAATCAAATACAGAAGAAAGAGAAGCCAGTTGACACTCTTATGGCCAACTTAAGCCACGCATTTTATAATTGAATAATGGAGAAATGAACATGAATTATAGATCACATAGGACACTTTTGTGAAATTGACAAGATTGTACAAAAAGCTATTCCTAGTTATGCAAAATCTCTGGAAATAACCTCATCACATTGAATAGAACCATAGAGCAATATGCCAAAAATCTAAACAAAATGATACTTGTAGAAGATCAACAATGATTTCCCAAAGAAAAATAGACACTAAAGCTTTTGGGCCCAACAGAGCATTATAATAGAAAGGAAGTAATGTAGCCTAATGAGAATTACTCACCATGCAACAGGAGTCGGCTGTGTAGTTGCTTTTGCAGGCTGCATCCACATTTGATCCATAAAGAAAAGGAAAGAAAATGTCATCAGTAACAATCATACATCAACTGAGAAGTGGACATAAAATAAATATAGAATAAAATAGATAAATACCAGCACGAGCCTACTCCAACATACTCGTCATTCTCTATCAGTAAATACCTTACATTTTTTTAAGTTCTACTCAATAGAGTAACAACAGAAACAAGAAATACCCAAAAAGGGACCACCCATGTGGGTACTTTTACTTTAAGGAGAAGAGAGATAGCAAGTAAGATATTTATTAAGTATAAAAGGGTCCCACAAAGTGAGTGGTAAGACGGTAAGAGATCGTTAAAAAATGAATAAAGGTATACATAATGAGAATAAAGTGAGTAGAGCTCATACTGGATATATATGGAAAATAAGTAGAACTCGGGAAAACAAAGGTAGTATTATATACACAGAACTGCTAAAATGTTACAGAGTAACAAATAATTAACCAGCGTTAAAGTCTTTACAGTACATATGTCTCCTAAATGGGGGACAACCCCATACCCCGGTTGATAAATGCTGAATACAACCCAACCCACATTGGATTTTGAAGGAAATTTTATAGAGAATAATTGAAAAAAAAAATTAATAATAATAATAATAATAAATAAATAAATAAAGACTATCATTGCTTCCCTAATCTCACGACATATAAAAATAAAAATCCACTCCAAGGCAAATAGCTAGTGCCAAACAAATTTGGCTTTCTCGCCATGCAAAGACAAACGCATCCTACTACTCGCACGTATGCAATATCTCTATTAGGGGACCTTCCACTTGCATGGGTTTTTCTGCGTCTCGAGAAATTTTGTCATAGAAAAGAATCTAAGAATAGCCAAAAATTTTGTATGCACCCCCTAATCCCAATCTGGAGAATGTCATGTAACAATGGAGTATACAAGGGACTATAGTCAGTGATGGAAGCCACGAAGAGAAATAAACTTAGGAGAACGATCGGGAAAAAAAAGCTGCTCCACTGCCTAATTTCTCCAAACCTTTGTGGAACAAACAATATTGGATAGGCTGCCGATCCGCTTTATACAACAGAAAAAAAAAATGGGTTTAGAAGACAAAGAAGTGGCTTAATAGTGTTACAGCAATATTAAAAAGTGTGTGAATGCAGAACTCCAATGGCTTTCATGAGTAAAAGTAACTTTTCAAGCTTAAATATGGACTAAGGTTGCTGGGGATCATGGTGATTCGATTAGGGAGATCCAAAGCCATTGAAAATATTTTAAAATTTATTTTTAGATTGCCTCTCATAATAAGCTTAATTTATTCATCCAATCTTCAAGACACACTCTTAATTAAAGGATTTTGAAGTCGGTCTTAAAGAATATTCCCATAAGGAAATTTCTAAACAAGAGAAAGATTATGAATATCACACCCGATCATCAAAAAAGAATGTCAGTCATTACACAAGAGTCCAAGTTGACTCTTATGACAGTAAACTTGCTCCAAAACTAAATGAGAAATATAAAACAAAACCGATTCAATATTCTAACTTCAAAATCTTGCAATCTTACCAATGAGAAAAAGAAAAGGTAAAAAAAATGGTACTCCAAGAAGCAAATCAATATGACAACTCATTCATCATTGACACAAAGCCCTCACTATAACCATGCTCCATGATTCCAAACATCCAACTGCTCAAAACATCTTCCACTTAAGTCAACACACAAGGAGTAAGGCCCCTTTTCCTCGCCTCTTACAGTTCTCTCTTGAGACAACCATACTGAAACGTAATCTATTCATACTTCAGTATCTTGCAAACTTATCAACGAAAAAATTAAAAAAGTACAGAAAGCAGCAAAACAAAGCAACAGCTTATTCATCATTGACAAAGCCCTCAATATTATCATGTTCTACAAATATGAATAGCATACCACTCATAACATCCATCATTCATTCAAAAAGCAAGGAGAAAGGCCAACTAGCCTAAGACCTCTCACAACACTCAACTACTTAATGTATCACCAACGCCAAACACTCCATAGGAAATTTCAGGTTGCTCCATCATATGCCTTCTAAAAGTCAAGTTCAAACATAAAAACCCCTTCAATGTCTTTCAGTCTTTCCTAACATCATGTACAACAACATTTACAAGGAAAGCATTCTGATACTATGCCAAAGAAACTATGCCAGGAGCACCCCCAACTATTGTGACTGTACCTTAACCAAAACCTTGCAAAATTTTGAAGTAAAACTAATTGACCTAAAGTTCCCTTTACTGAAGTCTTTTTTATACAGGAGTAGTACAGACATAACCTCATCCATATATCAATTGAGTTCCTATAACACCAAAAATCATCCTTAATCACACCCCACCAATAATGCAAAAGGATTGTTCCAGCTCCCAGCTTACTTCAATCCTCCAGCTTAAAAGAAATGTTGAGTAACACACCCCTTTCCACCCAAACTTCACTCCATACAAATTATTGATGTTTTCTCAATAAAATGATGATCATACAGAAATGGAGAATTCCTTGGCTGGGTTAACAGATTCATCAAAAGAGAAAGGCAATAGGCAGATAAAAGAGCACTAATAGTGTGGAGCAGAAAATAAATAAGAGTAACAAACAATGAAGCATGCAACTTTTTTTTTTTCTCATATCCGCCATTTACAAGTGCATAACAAGGGACAGTTCTTAGCTACCAACAGTACATATGTGTTTCTACTGATGGCCATCCCTAAAGAACTCAATGTGAAGGTTCCTAACCTCTTCTACATCTGATTTTTGAGAGATAAAATCATCACAAGAAAGCTGTTTCACTGCTCATCCAACAGTATAATTTGCGCTACCCCCCCCCCCCTCCCCCCCCCCCCCCCCAAGAAAAAAAAAATCGAATTAATACATGAGTGGTGTATTTAGGCCTACTTTACAGTACTAGGTAGCAAACTACGTATCTAGACCTAAAATTTACTAACGAATTAAGTAACAATAACCCCAACTTTCTGCATTTCATTTTTTTCATGAGTATTTGAGAAAACATATTAATATGAGACCAATAAGACAGCTATATCTCCCACAAACAAAAGGAGGGCCATAAACCCGTATTATCCCTAGGGCAATCGTGCTGAAATAGTGAAATACAAACTAAAACTCTCGCATTGCGAGAGTTGTGGGCATAGTATGTGAGCATACAGTAAAACAACAACGACAGATGAGGGCAGGGCATGATCAAGCATGAGCATATAGCATCATTTGAACTTATGAGGGCAGAATACTTAGTGCCTCTCTAACCAAAACACCTTTGAACATATGGATTCCTTACAATCATGGTGTGCATGCAATCTTTAACAAATTTTACCTCATTGGACTTCATGCTTCAATTGCGATACTCAATCATTTAGTTTTGACAAGTTTTTGAAAAGAAACAATCACTACATACAAAAGACCGGGACACGGAGATAAACGATCACAAAACGGAAAAGTGTTGCAGAGTAGAGTACAAAAGAGAAGAACATACATTTTCCCCGGGGGGGGGGGGGTGTAAAAACACATTCTAAATTAATCTTCACAAGAAAACAGTTTCAACAATGTGTCCAAAATTAAAAAAAAAAATACCTCTCCTTTGAAACCAGAGGGCTTTTCATACGTTGATTCCCCAGTTATAGCATTATAATAATATAAAGCCCCAGAATCAGTTCTATGTGCACTCCATGCATCCAATTGATGATTTTGATAAAAAGTACCATTGGTACTAGCATCAGCAACCTGCTTACTATTATCTGCACAAGTCAAAGAAATCTTCTTACAAAAATAGAAAGCCAAGTAACACAAACTAGTGCACCAATAATTAAAATAATAAAGACAAACCAGTCCCAGGAGGTGGTACTTCGGGTTGCATCACAGAACTATGTACTAGCTGAACGCCAGGAGCAGCTACAGAAGATGAGTGCATACCACCAAGATTATTAACAGGTGTGATACCGGGAGGCTGAGCATCTGGCACAGGAACAGAAGGAAGAGACCCACGTGCTGCCAAACCAAAGGGGCCGGGAAAAGCAGGAGGATACGGTAAGAATGGAGGCCTCAGTCCACCCATTTGTGGGGGCTGCAACCAAAGTGGTTGAGGTGAAGCACCAGGAGTAGGTATAGATGCATACGGAGGGTATGCTTGTGGTTGAAACGCTGGATTTGATGGAAGCGGGACTACTGGCATGCCAGGTCTTAACACTGCAGGCACAAAAGAACCCATCACTGAGGAAGAGACTGAATGACCGGAGGACAATACAGCAGAAGCTGCTTGCCCTGGTATACCAGGTTTCATCGAGCCAGTAGACAATCCAGAGTGTAATTCAAATGATTGGGAACCAGTAATTGATGTTGTCACTTGACTCACATTAGACGTAACAGATACAGTTGTCTCAGAACTAGAAGAAGCTTGTGCAGCTGACGAACCAGATGAAGATACTGCACTTGCATCTTTTAAAACGCTAGTTGTAGCAGTCTGTGATCAATAAAGTAAGAACCTTTTCAGAATCACATATATCCAAATACAGTTCTTATAACTGAAAATATAAGGAAACTACTAAGAAGGATTGATATTAGATCAAATATCCAAAAGCACTCTTCGTCAGTAAGACATGTCAATGATCCCCCACAATAAGTATGAATTGCGTGATTTTAATTGCTTCATGTATTAACTCATTCTTTCTTTGAGAAAACTATAAATATCAACGATTTAATCAACTTAATTTGTTTTCTCAACGGCACATCAAGGGATAAGTTAATCTCGCAAACAAAAGATGGATTAATCTGACATCAAATGCAATGAGTATTGAAGGAACTATACACAAACACAATAGATGGACCAAATCAGCCAATACACCTCTTATTCTTCCATACTAACTGCCTATGATTTACTAACTATATACATCTTGAATACTCAATTTACAAGGTACCTCCACACTAGACAAACATGTACGTATGCAAGGTTCTTTCATATTTACGAAGTACTCCGTATATGGGTAAATTGTACTCTAGAACACACCATTTGTTTGTTTTTTTTATTACCTTAAACTATGAGAAAATCCAAGTTTATCTCTGTGGTAAACAAAATTGTTTATCACATGGGCAAAAGTGTAAGTTTTGTGGTAAAGTGAATTAACTGCCTTAAAACCGGTGTACCCCAAAACCGCTACTTCATTAAGTGGGGCTACCTTTTAAACTCTTGAAGACACAAATTTGCTTCAAAATCAAGACACCTAAGATACCATTCTACGGGTACAAAAACCCTAACAAAATATAATTTTGCACATACTATTTAAATCATACACACAATCAATTCAACCAAATAGCAAAACAACTGAAAAAAGAGCTATAAAACAACGTACATTCGCGGTATAAGTAAAGTTAGTAGCAGTTGCTGATGCTCTTTGTGATGGCATCATTTGTGCAGCGGCATTGCCCGAAACCTCGAACGCCACAGCCGGAGGACGTACCAGTACCGGCTGCGAAGGCTGCAACGCCCCGGGCGGTAGTGAGTTGTTGTTGACAACTTCTGAATACCCCATTAATCAACAAAAAATTGAGCTGAAAATATAATGAAATTATCAATCAAAAAATTGAAATTTCAGTAGAAACATGATAGTGGCGAACAGGCGAAGAACCCTCAAATCTGAAAATTTAATTGAGCTTGCCAATGTAAATTAAAACCTAAAAAAAGAAAATCAAACGAGTTGAGAGATTAAACGATTATACCTGGCGAGTGAATAAGTTCAAATTCTGGAAAAGTTTGAATTTGTAGCCCTAAGTTATTTGCTCTCAATGTTCTTAGTTGATCCTCAATTTTTTAATTTTTTTTTTTTGACACAAAGTTGATCCTCAATTTGGGGGAAAGAGGAGATACCCTTTGCTATTTGGTTTGTGTTGTTTAACGGGGTACTTCCGAGGTTCTACTGTAATTTGTAAATTACTCCCTATGTTTTGATTTTCACGAGTTTTACACTAAGGTTAAAATTTTGGTCGTGTCTCTTTGTTTATAAAACAATCATACACGTCAAGTCGTCAACACATGTAAAATGTTACACTAATGAATAAGAAGGAAAAATTGTCAAACTGAGCGTTTTTGGAAAACAATTTCCCAAACAAGACGCGTGGCAAAACTATTTATCAAACTAAGTTTTCAGGGTAAAACGCCAACCACCCTGGGCAATTTTTTTTTTTAATTTTTAGTCAAAGGTAAAACGCCATCAAGGGTGGCGTTTTACTGCTGGGCAAATTTTTTAAAAAAAAACATTTACACAAAAACGCTAACGCCGTTGGCGTTTTACTTTTAACACAAAAGCGCTAACGTCGTTGGCGTTTTAGAGTGTTGGGGTTGTCGTTGTTGCTGTTGTTGTAGTCGTTGTTGTTGCAGCTCCTGTGGTTGTTGTTGTTGTTGTTGCAGCTCTTGTGGTTGTTGCTGCTGTTGCTGTGTAGTTGTGTTTGTGTGCAGAGATAAAACGCCAACCATGGTGGCGCTTTAGGGGGGTAAATTATTTTCAAAAAAATCACTCAGGGTAAAACGCCAACGGCGTTAGCGTTTTTGTGTAAATGTGTTTTTTTAAAAAAAATTGCCCAGCAGTAAAACGCCACCCTTGATGGCGTTTTATCCTTGACTAAAAATTAAAAAAAATAAATGCCCAGGGTAAAACGCCATCCTGGTTGGCGTTTTACTCTGGAAGCTTAATTTGGTAAATAGTTTTGCCACGAGTCTTGTTTGGGAAATTGTTTCCCAAAAACGCTTAGTTTGGCAATTTTTCCGAATAAGAAAATGGATGAGACTTCAACTTGTCTTTTGAGGGATTTCAAATAATTAATGTGAAAACTCCGTAAAAGATAATGATATCATCATCCATTGAATTACTCCTTGATTTACACAATTAGGTTGACTATTAAAGATTTCCCTAATTATTGTCTAATGTACCTAGACATATATTCTAATGTATCTAGTATAGTCTAATGCTTACTATTAATACTCTTGTATACTCTTCAATATAATCAAGCTTTCCAACGATCTCTTTCTCGTAACTCTATCATGGTATCATGAGCTATTGATCCATTTTTCTCGCTTCCGTGATTACGTCCTCATCCCATCCATGGCTACACCATCAAAACCCTTTGTTGATGTCATGCCGACAAATGATGGTGGCCATATCAACTTTCTTCTCTGAAAGCTTCAAACCTCAAACTTCTGCTCAAGTTTTTTGGCACTCCGTATTTCATATCCTAAGAGATGCTAATTATCATTTTTTTTTTTCTCCAAGCCTCTTTTGGGGAAACAATCCCTTTTTGGCACCCCGTAGTTTATCCACCAAGTATTGCTAAACATAAATTCACTTCTCCGAACCCCATATAGACTCCAAAACCACCATGGAGAACCATGAAATTCCCTTCTTAACAACCATTAGATTTTTCTATCTCGCTTTTAATGGTAGTGAATGAACCCCTCTATTTTTATTCTCGCATACGTTGCAAGCACACGCTAACAAATTTTTTCATTCTAATTTTGCAATCACTGGTTCAAGTGTCATAGCAACCGTGAAAAACACCCATTAATTAAGTAACTCCTTATTCTCTATACATTGTCTTTTCATATTACATTTTTTTAAAAAAAAAAAAAACTTCCAACACTCAACTCTCTCCAACCCTCTCTGAAATTACAATGAAAAGCAACCCTTCTCACCTACGCTTCAATTCCTATATTGAACAAGATTTGCAATATTATATCTAAACCTGGACATCGTGCCGGCGTGCCCAGATTGTAGTGTCGTGCCGTGCCAGCCAATTTCACAGGCCAGCCCACGGCCTGGCACGACCCTCGTGCCTGGCGGGCTCGTGCCGTGTCGGCCTTCGTGCTGGCCTGACGGGCTTGGCAATTTCCATTTTTTTTTATTTTAATTTTTTGTTAATGGTTAATAAGTTATAAAATTATAACTTATATTATAATGTATATAATTTATAAAATTATAACTTATAAGTTATAATTTTATAACTTATAATTTATAAAATTATTATATTTATAACTTATAACTTATATTATATTTATTAAATATATATATATAAATATATTAATATATAATTTATATTTATATATTATAAATATGTATATAATTAGCGTGGCGGCGGGCCAAGGGGCGGGCTCGTGTCGTGCCGTGCCGAAAATTTCAGCCCTTGTCCGTGGCACGGGCCACCGTGCCGTGCCGGGCCACCACCCCAGGTCGTGTCGTGTCGTGCCGAGAAGCGTGTCGTGCCTGGCGGCCCGCGTGCCAGCTTTAATTATATCCAAGATCGGTCTCTCATTCTGGACGTCCATCTTGCGGGGGCGTGTAAAGGATAATGAATCATTAATATCATTATCCCTTGATTTACTTCTTAATTTACACAATTAGGTTGATTGTCAAAGATTTTCCTAACTATTGTCTAATGTACCTAGACATATACTCTAATGTATCTAGTCATATACTCTAATGTATCTAGTCATAGTGTAATGCTTACTATAAATACACTTGTATACTTTTCAATATAATCAAACTTGCAACATTCTCTTTCTCATAACTCTATTAGACTCAAACTATGTTAATCTTTCATCTCTTATAATTTCACCAATCTCAACAATAGCTAGAGTTTTGATGAACGATTGAGGAGAATATGTTAGTCAATTGGAATGTGTGGTGAATTATGCAAACCTTAAGTTACATAATCATTTGTCATTCTATTTTATTTGTAACAATAGTATGATTAAGTAAAAATTTGTAAAATAAAAAAATTGATACTGCTAAAGATGATGAAACATAAATACTTGTATTTAAATAGTGGTAAATGTCAAACTGTACGTTATGAGTAAAATTGAACGGAGAAAGTATGTTTTTGGAATAGCTCATGTCATTATTTTGCGAGTCAAAACACTAAGCCACTAGTAGTATTTCAAAAAAAATATTTTTAGCATGTTCTTGCCATTGTTTTAACATGTTGTAATCTATAAAATGGATGTCATGAACAGTGATGCAATTAGGTAGTACTCCGTATGAATTAAGCAATATTATGCGTATTATACTTAGTAAATTCAAATAGTTGATGATTGGTTGCAACTTTAACATACTCTCATCCAATTTTTACTCCATTAGCCCCCATGTGGAAGTCTTACTCTCTTTTTTAAGTGACACACTAATTTCCATGTAGAGTTTAAGGATAATTCTAAAGGGTAATCCCTCCTCTCTGTCTTAAACCACTACTATCCCAACTAGTATCCCTTTTTCTTTTTTCTCTATCTCAAGTTATCTATATTTTTCCCTGTCAGTTGACAAGCTAATGGTGTTTAGCTTTGAAAGGTAGTAGATTATTATGACATTGAAATTGTGGAGCATGGGTGATGTTGTGATGGGGTTGTTGCCTTGTTGGTTAGTGACTTGGGTGTGTTGCGATACTTGCGAAGTGATGTGGTGTGGGATAAGAGGTGCAACAATGGAATAATTGTGAATGTTGGCGAGTTGAAGTTGTTGTGCAGTGATGCGTGGGTGTGTGATTGTTCTTGGCGTTGTGACAGTGGGAAGGGAATGCATAGTAATGTGAGAGGTGAGGAGTTGTTGTAGGTTTGGCAACACTTAGTGACTTAGCTTGGTTTTATTTTTTGACTTAGCTTGGTTTTAGTGGAAACCTTAAGAGCACTAGCAATGGTGATCATTTTTTTTGCTCATGGGCATTTTTGATGAGCAAAAAAAATGATCACCAACCACAATGGTGAGAAAATGGTGAAATTCAAAACAAAGCCCATGAGCAAAACCAAAAACGCTCAAAACATGAGCAATTTTATTGATGAACAGTAATTCATGTGGGCCCCACAACTGCTAGACCCACTTAAAAAAATTTCGGTGAGTCATAATCAAAACGACGCGTTTTGATTGAGGTTGCAGATTTTTAAAAAAAAAAAAAATTCTGAGAATCTGACGCGTGACAGTGGGGTGGCGAATGGGGTGACGACACGTGGCTTGCGCAGGTTCCCAGCCAATCAGAAAATTATAGCCGTTTACAACGGTTATATATTTGTAATCTATTTTCTGAAAAATATATTTTGTAAAAAAAAAATAAAAAAAAATTACCAACAGTCATAAAATTAAATTCTCTATAAATAGACATGCATTTTGATATAATTTCGTAAACACTTTAAATCCTCCACATTTTAATTTTCTTAAAAGTATTTTAAATTTGTAGAAGAATATTGTTGTTGCAATTCACCCATATTCAGGTAAATTTTTTTTTTTTTTAATTTTAAATTCAGTTATGTAACAAAATTAGTATATATGTGATTTTTTTAAATTTTCCGTACGCAGTCGAGTTATTTTTTAATAGTTTTGTTTATTTTATTTCTTAAGTTTAATTACGTATGACGTTGCAAATGTTATTGGTTTCTAGTGTTGTACCGCTTTTTAAAATAAATAAAAATTTTAAGAAATTTTGAGCTTTTTTTTTACAATTATTTCATATAACGTACTTAATTTAACGACAAATTTTAACGATTAAAAAGACACAAATAAAAAAACAAATTAACCAAATTTAAACTAGTTTTTTTTTTTTGGAGTAATATTGTTAAAATATAAATGAAATAAATAAATAAAGAAGTGTTGTGTAGGAGAGAGAAAGTAATGGTGGGGTATTGAAAAAGTAAGAGAGAGAGTGGTGGGTGAGCATTTTTTTTGCTCACTATTGGGAGAGAAATTGTGAAAAAAATTTGCCCATGAACAAAACTGATTTGTTGAGAGAGAAAGTGGGTAGAGAGAGAGTGGGTGAGCATTTTTTTTGCTCACCATTGAGAGTGGTCTAAGAGTCATATTTCTTTTGACAATTTTTTCAACTATCTTTTGCTAATATAAACTTAAATTATTTTTATTAAACTTACAATATTTTTGTTGAATTGTACTTATTTTTGTTAAATTTAAATTATTTTTATTGATTTAAGCTTAATATTACTAATTTGTACTCGTATTTGTGCTTTATAGTTATTGAATATATTAATTGAAACTTTTTATTACTGA